TCGAAGTGGGAAATCGAAGTTTTTTCACTATACTTTTCATACATACAAAAGATAAACACAATATAAACAAATAAAAAGAACACGAATCATTGTAAAACCAATACATTCATAGCTCTGCTCAGAATCTAAAATATTACTATCATTAATATTGTTTTTTCCATAATATATTATATATTAATAAAAGGAAATGTTTGTGTGTGTGTGTAAGTGATGCACAGCAAATTCAATCTCTTACATGGTTCTAAAATTTTGTACATAGATAATCCTATACCCGAGGAAGTGTACCTTGAAGCCAATTTTTTTAATTTTACACTTTAAAGAGTGGCTCACTCAGGAATTTGTTGGCTCGCGAAAAACGAATATTTTGTTGTTTGTATATTGTTCTTGTTCACATTTGTTAAGTATAGAAAATAAAATAGTTGTCAAAGTAATGGATATAGTTCTGGATCTGTATTTTTTATATGTGGTCAAAACCCCCATAAATTACTGTGTAATAAAAATCTATGCCGTTAACATTTAAAGAAGTTTAAAAAGGGGTAAAACCACGAACATTTAATTTGTCATGGGCATCAACCGTGCGGTATCAGCTAGTATAATATAATAGGTAATTTCTTGATCGGCCAATTGTCTTTATTAGATAATTCATAACCATTTTTTAATTTGTACAGTAATATACAGAGTGTAACGCAAAGACCTGACAAATAAAATAACTTTTGTTCTAATCAATATTTTTAAATTTTTTCTATCTATAATGTGACGTTATATAATACTCTTGCGTTACATAATGTGCGCTTTAGTGTAGATTATTTTTTAAACATTTTTGAAATCTCAATTTTTTCAAATTAATAAGTTACCTAACAACATAAACCATTTGACTTAGATAAATGTAACTTAGAAAAAGTTTTCTATAATACAGATTTACAAATTGGCTATTTTGAATTTTAATGTTTAGAATTAAAAAATAAAAAAATGTTATACTACACGCGTGTAAAAATATTAATCAGAAAAAAAAGTTATTTAATTTGTCAGGACTTCGTGTTATACCCTGTAATATTATAGATGCATATATTTTGGCGACACCTCTCTTAAATAAATCCAAGATATGCGCAGCACACGTATCTGTGTACCTGTCATTATTGCATATTATTATTATTATAACGATATGATACATTGATACATATTTAACGTATAATATGTACTACCTATATCTTATAGCTATTGGCTAGTGACCACCGTTCATTATCGATTTTTACAATATTATTACCTAGCACCTATCGCTCACACACACACGTGAAGTGTTGCAGTATATCTGTGTAATATTATTAATAAGTGTTTTGCTGAGGATAAGCCAAACAGGGAGTCGGCTCACTGCAGACCGTCCACGGGGTCTTTCGATTGTTTTTCATTATTTTCTCAACCGTTCCAATTGTTTTTACCTAATTTATTATTCCATACAGTATCTATAAATTGTATAAAATCATAGTATTTAGTAATCTCCGACCGTTTTCATCATTCGCGTTTCAGTATTGGCTCATTAGTTTATTGTAATAATAATAATAGGTACCTATGACCTTTTTGTAGAGTCATGTGCACAATTACGACGGTTTTTAACCACAATTCAGTCGTTACGATCCGCCTGGAATTGTTTTCCTTAACGAACTTGTACGTGCAAGGAAAATTTCGTTGGCATCTCTTGGCCTACATTGAATAACGTAAACAGCGCGCATTAATCCCATTTGGTAAAACAATAACAAAGTTTTGCTATAGAAGGAGAAAAAAAGTATATGTACGTCGTTAATTAAATACTTCTCGTCGTAAGACACAGAACGCTGCTTTTCAAAATCGCGAGTGGGGTCGGAAAATGGAAAGGATTTCGTGGATTATTTTAAGTTCTGCGGAATCGTTTGTTTCTTTTTTTTTTTCATTATTATTCCCTGTGTAATTAGACAAGTTTTTATTTTACCTTCAAGTGCATTTTTGAGTACGACGTTTTATTCTCCTTATATATACAAAACGAGGATGCTAAAAGTTATTGGTAATACCTCATTGTTTTGTTTTTTTTTTTTATATATAAATTTTGTTCGATCAGTCAGACGTAAACAAATAGAAGCTGTATTTCAGTTACGTAACAAAACAACAGTGTAGGCCTTATAGTTTATTGTTAGTAAATTATGACAAAGCGAGAACTAAGTAAAATATTGAACAAGAAAATATAAGAAAGCTGCACTCACTCGGTTTTGCATGTCAACATAAATTTTCCTACTTAAATTTGATGAATATACCTTCACAAAAGAACGTTATTTTTGCTGAATACCAAAAGAATGATTCTCGAAATAATTCAAACGTCAGTAAAATAGTTTTCACCATAAGCATAAGTACATATCTTTAATATTTAACGTCAAAAAATAAAGACCATTTGAATAATATATTTTTGTTTTTTATAACTTAAATGTGCAAAGAATAATACTTGGATTAATAACAAAAACTGAGTGTAATTGTGCGCACTATGCACATAATAATGAATACGAATCCATTAATAATCCTAATTTATAGACCAATTTATTATCTGTCGTGGAACGGTGGTAAAATTGTTCAATTATTATTTTAAGTTTTTTGAGGTATAATTCTCAAATAAATATGAACACAAATATTATACTTATATGTGATAAAAAAAGAGCATTTTTAAGTTAACCACAGAATCGAGCCAAATCAATTTGTATTACGCGCTATTACAAAGTTGCACAGTACAAACACATACTTGAGGCTTCTCTACTGACACTGCACGAATATAAAGGTTAGGTTAGTACTTATAAAAAATATGCTTACAACCAACATAATGAAAATCATACACTGAAAACCGAAACGTATTAATGTTTTTTTTTTTTTAACTCGAATCGAAATCAACATTAAAAAAATCAAACCCCATAACCTTATTCCGTTAACCGCATTTACCTGCGAGTCGTACTTACGGTTCTTCGTCATTATACACACGTGGCAATTTTTATGCAATCTAACCATCAGAGTTGTGGTACATAATAAATAAAAACTGTAATAAGATATTTATCGAAATGTTTTCCGCTGTTATGCGATTCAAAGGCTACATATTATTATTTTTATTATTAAGTACCCAGCGCGATCATTAGTACGATACGCCAAAGCTCGAGAGATAAAATTTGTCAGCCTACGCAAGTTGTGTTATATATATATATTAATATGGTGTGCGTGTATGTGTAAGAGGGTGTGTGAGAGCGTGCGCACTCGAACATATAGGAAAACCATATTATAGGTAAATACCATCTCCAAGATAACGGGCTTTATAAATCAGCCAGGATAAAAGGGGAAAGCTGAAACTCTATTACGTATACATTGATACGGTCGACTGTGTGTCAGCCTTTCCATTCGTGTTTGAGGCGTTAAAGATATTATCTATCATATACCTATTATGCATGTAAATATAGTATCCGAAAAAGCGAAGCCGCCGAGGTCGAAATCGGACTGACGGACATTCGGCGACTGACGCCTCCGGTGGAAAATATAGAATATAGCAATAGACTAAGTGTCTATACGTTATAATTAAATGTCTTTCGACGTTTTCTAAATTTCGGTAATAATCGGAAAATTCGCTAAAAATATAAAAGAATTAAAAACTAATTACAATTTTCGTAAAAAAAAAACCATCACACCAACCAAAAACTTTTAATTTTTTTTGTTTTACAACATTTTTGTCCATGCAATAAATCAACTTGACTTCTTCGCTTTAATTTGTGTGTCAACAAAAAATTTCGTAGTAAGGGTGACTCGTTTTAATAAACACGTAGTAAAATCCTTTACTCTCCGCAGAGCCTTTGTCATGATGGGGGATTTATGTAGCTTTTGCTCACTGATACACACTTACCTATACACGTTATACACACCCAGACACACCCTTTCACCTCCAGTGTTCGATTTAATATGCCAGGTCATGAACAACGCCAAAATAAAATATTATCAACGGTTCGACAAAAATATGCATAATACAATATTGACAGCTAGGGATAAAATATTATTCGTTTAAGGGATACATTTTCATGGCTTGGAAATTACTCACCAAACGACAATGTTTAAATAAAATAATTTAAAAAATAAAAATAAAATCCACAGATCGACAAATGATAATTTAACATAAAAATAATTCCCAAGAGAATTCATAGTTCATTTAATATTCTTGGTAACATTGGAAACACATTTAAGAGAGATTTAGAAAACCATAAATAAATGGGCCGAGTCAAAAACCGGCATAAAAACTCCGCTGACACCTGGTGTTCGATTTAAGCAAGCTCTCTCTCTCTTTTTTTTTTTTTTTTGAAAAATAATTGACGTACGTTTATTGTTCTTGGTGGTGTCACTGTCAACTGGCGAAGCTATCTAATAAATTGATGTAATATCGTTTGCAAAAATGTTCATAAAAAATGTATCGCCTCTCTAATACGCCTTCTATTATAGTCGATAAAAGTTTCCCTGAGTCTGTACATTTATATCAAGTTAACGAAAATAATTCAATGTTAATGGCCGAAGATTAGTAAAATATTTACGAAAAATACAAATGTCTAATTCTTGGTCTAATTTCAATCAGTCTCGTCAGTTGGCCAATAATGTTATTAGGATTTTCCGAAACAAGTGACTGAAAAATAATACAAAACTATGCACATTTATTAAAATATACAAAAACGGTACATATAACCTGTTATATAATACTGAACGTTGCATACATTAATCTGCCATACGAATGTTACTAATGCTGTAAATATTATGCTCCGAATAATACAGACAAATATTTTTAATTTATACCTATGGTATTTATCGACGAGATAAAATGATGCGCATCATTTTATTTATAAAATTCAGTTTAACGAAAAATCGTTTTTGTTTACACTTGACTTTTAAAATGACATGTATATTAATAACTACTAACTATATATTATTATTATATGCCTACATAAATACATTTTTTTTTCGAGCAGGTGTTGAGTCTATTAAGCGTGATAAAATTCTACAATATGGTGCGATTGGGAGTAACGTGGAAAGGTCCAGAAACCATTGAGCTGTGATGTACAATTTCGGGACCAGGACGTTATCCCGGTTCCATATCTTCGGCAGAAGACACTGACACGACTCTATCCTCGAGCATGGACGATTTCTTATAATGAACACTGATAACTATTATGTAAATGTTGTTGTATATTTGTTTTGGTTGAAAATAATTTTTGAAAAAACCTGCAATGATAAATAAAAAAATACATTTTATTTTTAAGTTATGATCAATGTTTTATTTTATAATACGACGTAACAATTATTATTATAATTACAGCAACCTACGACAACGGCTAAAATATTTGTATTATAAAACATGTTCACTTGTGGAGACTTGAAAAGACTAATGTAAAATAGACCTTCAGTCGTACTTTGTAAAAAAATTTCTTCAAAATACATATAGGTACCATTAGATACCTGCAAAATACGTATGGAATTATCACTCGTTTTTTTATTTAAATTTAATTTCAATTAAATTAATTTATTCGTACTTACCGGCATTACAGATTCGTTGATTTATTTAATTATTGTTTATTAATTAAACAGGTAACCTAAGTAGATTATGAATTAACGTAAATATGATTTTAAAAAAACGCCAAAAAATAAATGAATTTAAAGCAGAATAATATAATTAAGATAAAAGCTTAATGTACTCGTAATACTTGATACAATGTATTATTATAATGTACACAATAAAGTGTACCATTACGATAAATAACGACCCCGTGGGGAGAACATTTTTTGGATTGCTCACAAATATTTGTCTAAATTTATCCTCTGGTATTTTTTCTATTCCTGGCATTTCCTCAACTTCTTTTATCCTCTACGACCAACCTATCATCCCGCTTTTCGGTATTCTGTCGTTTGTTTTTTTATTATGCTCGAACATTTCTCCCATCAGTAAATATCTTGGATCAGATATTTTTTTGGCCGGTCTAATCCTATTTATCCTGGGATTTGGACGCGGTCTCTTAACACAATATTTTTATGGCTGAAAGATAAGTCATTACAATCCATTGTTGAACCATTTCCTCGATATCCTATAATTTTTTTTTTTTTTTTTATTTTATACCCGGTTGAACTTTAAGTTCAAAACTTTTCACTAATCCGAATACGTATAAGCGAAACATCGCGGACCATAATAATAATAATAATAGTATAGAGTTTGAAACTTACAGTTATTGTATTCCTTTATTTATCGATAATCGGTTGTATAAAACAAACGACTTCAAAGAAACATGTTTACACGAGCCGCGTAAATAGAGCGCAACGCACAACAATCAATTTATCATCATCGTTCACTGTCACGAAAATAATCCTTAAAGAGAAAATAAAACCCCATTAAATTGGTAATTTTCATCAATAAAATTCCCATTTCGACCGGGCGGCTAACGGGAACAAAAGAAGAAATCGGTTAAGTGTGAAGAACGATAACAAGTCCCCGAAAGATCTATTAAGCACGTCGATGATTAATGGCGGTTTTATTTTCTAAATATAATTACAATGATTACACACGTCTGCCCTTTGCAGCTTGGTTCCTTTATTGCGATTATCTAGTCTTCAGGTATATATGGATACCACTACGACGCCCCGCGCCCGTTACGTTTCGCACGCGAGCTTACAGGTCAAAAGTCGATGGCTCAAAAATATAAAATTATCGACGGACCTAATACCGCTTCGAGTTCGAGTTAACACTCTGTATACGACGTCTGAACTTAAATACGACCGTCGGCGATTAGGGTATTAGAAACCGTATGGCACACCCACACCCACCATCAATTCTATGTACCTATATAACCGCATATCTGGAAAAGCTTTCAGAGGGGAGGGTGTTTTTTTAACTTTTTGAAAATCAGATGTTGACATTTATAATATTACAGTAAACACTCAGTGTACCACGTTTCATCAAAAAAATTAACATCATAATAATATACTCACAATAATGATTATTGTTTTTCTCATAATACGGGATTGGGTATGATAAAAAATAAAACTCCAGAATTAATTCTATCTATATATAGATATCGACTACCCCGTATTGTATATTTGCGTAATGATGTCCATGGGAAAAAATCCAAAAATTTCTGGGGATTTCCAAAACACACCCCATTGCGTGTGTGAGCTGAATACAGGCGTGTATAGACTCGAGGGCAGTCGCATTATAAATTTATAATAATAATATGCTATACGTATATACCTATAATATCATATATATATACGATAAGTACTACACACAAAAACGTAAAACCTACCCCGTTCGAGTGTAATCTCGCGACTCGCGGTGAATTTCGCGTTGGAGGATTTAACCTTCGGTTATTTTTTAATTAGGGTTTAGGGTTATCGTGCGTTGTGTGTGTGTGTGTGTGTGGGTGGGGCGAATCTTAGGGACACCCCTAAGTACAATGCACTATTGTGTGGAATGATTTTACTCGAGGGTTTCGCTCAACAATAGGACGTATCGCGATGATACTGCTTTGGTTTCCGTAGGTAGGTTACGCGCGTACAACCGACGTCGTCCCGTTATAGAAAAAAGATATTAATAATATTTTCCTTTTCATCCGTATTATATTATTATACATTATTGTTTTACTGCGCGGTATCAATAGCGCCGCCGACGAATGTCAAAATTGTTCTGAATTGCATTTCCGCTCGGACCGTTGACGCGGTATCCTGCAAACCACGACCACCTCGCAATAGCGGTAACCGGAAAAATCGAAAACCTGACACCTGTATTATAATACAGCTGCAGGTGTACACCGATAAATGATAATAATAATAATAATATAATAATAATTGTTTCAATATATCACGTCGACGCTCACTATCGAAACGCACACCCCACCACCACCGCCTACGTCGTTCAATCGATCGTCATATTATTTTTTTACCCACGCTCGTATATTACGAGTTACATAAAATATAATATTATATTCCACGTAGAAAACGTACGTCATAATAATTTTATATGATACGATATTCGATAACGCGCACAATAACAATTCACTTCGATATTACGCTATTGTTTGGGGATTTTAAAAAACACACGTCACTGGCAACGTAAAATAGTGGAAATTCGGTACTCTGTAGTCTGTATGTACAATGTAGTAATTTAATAGTGGCGCAAATATTAATCCACACGAGTCCCATAATACACCCCGTCAAACAATATTATTATTCCTCGTCTCAGACTATAATATTTCATTATGTATTTTTACTCGCCCTTCGCACTCAATGTTTAGTAAAATATGCGTTTGCGGACGAATTGGCGTCGGGGTGATTTCGTTCACTAATAATTTAATATAAAATTATGATAATCGTAAAAAGTCGTTTTTAAAACTGCGGTGACGACCGACCCATCAAATTGTTCAATTTTTCTGCTTCCAATACATTATTATCGTAACGAATAAGGAATAAGCGCTATGTATTATTCGACTTTTTAGAAAATATTGCTCTTGGTTTAATCAGTTTATGCGGGTGGAAAATCGGTGCTTCCGGCCGGTGCCTCGAATAAAGCGACTGCATCTCGTTCTTCACACTCTCTACGTTCGGAAAAAAAAATACTATCTATATGACGGGTGTAATGAATCAAATTATAAAAGCTTATGCAAATTCGGAGTTTATATAGTTTATACTGATGACTTTCATATTGATTATCTTTCTCGAACGTTTCTCAAATTCAATGCAGTTGAGTTAGGGCCTGTATAATATTATAATATTATTATATAGACGACTGATATTTTGTTATCACGCCACACGCCCTTTATCTTAAAAAAAAACCGCCTGTTCCGGCAAACGGAACACGATATAACAATATATTATAATCGTTCGTCGCGGTAGGGCATACAAAACGATACACATTTATCACACTTTGACTTTTTTCTGTTATTGTTTAAGAAAATTAAAACGCCTGGGTGATTTATATATGTTTATTCACAATAAATATTCAATTAACTTTTACTTTCGCCGTACCTACTGGCAACCATTCGAATCTCGAATCGGTTTTTTTCGTGTGATACCCATGTTACTATCAGTTAGTTACTATACTAGTACTATTATTGCACGTGTAATATACTAATAGATTATATACTAATCCTAGAGGTGTCAGCAAGAACACGTCATTTAGCCATTTATGATAAAACACAATTTTAAAAACGATTAATTAATATTTTTATTAATTACTATAGGGCTGAGATTTCTATTCACTTGCATTGTTTTCTAAACCTCTCTACACAATGCTATTGTTGTTACATAAAACACGCGCTTAGTGTATTTTAAATCAGAATAAGAAGTTTTAATTTTGCATTCTTTGACAATTTTCATTTTTTTCATTTTTATAGCATTTAATACTAAAATCCCTTTTTTCAAAATTTAATTTTAAGATTTTTACTTAAAAAGTAACTTTAGGAAAATAACAATGTATATTTTACATTTTAACTTATTGAATATTATTAATCGTAATTTTTCGAATAAATCCGTACGACGTAAAAATCCACATTACGAGTGGAAATTAAATGGAATATTTATTTTTGTAATTTGAAAACCAACGTAGCGAAGACTTGAAATTGTGCAGTCCTGCAAAACGTTATTAAATTTAATAAATAATATTTTTTTTGGTTTCGAAACTTGTGTTAATTAAATAAATGTAAATGACTTTTATAGGGGCGTTTTTAGGCCAGTTTTTCGGTATTTTTACTAAAATCAAATTGCATCTGTATACCAATATGTTTAGGGTGTGTATAAAAACTATACATTTTGATTTTGAGTCCAAAACGAATAGAGTTATAATACTATAATACTATAATAGGTTATTCGTGTTTTTCTTCCACTGTTGACACTACAAGCACACGTCATGATCCAACGGATCCGTCTTCCGATGCGTTGTACTTCTGACCAAAGTTTTTACATGCCTTCTTACATTTATAATAAATAACCTACTCGTTGTCAGGGGAATTGTTGTATAAATATAGCACACTAGTATATAGATACAATATAACGTAACACATTATCAAACAACAGA